ACTGATATCATAGTAGATCATAGTTCTAGATTGGTGAGCCCGACTATGGTCTACTAATCCTCCGGCAAGATATGCATAAATTCTCGGCTCTTTCAGCTTCTAAATAATTTTACCTGCTCAAAAAATGTAGTGATCCAACTAACCAATCAATAATTCTCAGTCAAAGGTCATTCCTGTCTTATCTTGTCAGTAGTGTTACACTCACCAAAATTTTTTGTTTGACTGCACTGGGGTTTGGATTTTTCTACACGTTTTGTGTGTTCACTTTAATCTGGGGCTGGATGAACCATATTTTCATATTTCAAAATCTTCTCAGATTGATACCTTATTAATTGAATTTTGTTAGGATTTGTCTTCATCATTATGTGCCGCTGTCGTACGACACTGGATCATTGATAGTAAAGGTCTTGTTTATGTAAACTCAAGGTTGCTGTGGAGAGCAGTTATTTGTTACCACCATTCGATTGCCTACCTTAATTTTTTGTTGTTCATTTTGATTCCCTCAGATAAAAGCTTTTCCGTTTGTAGCTCTTCCAGGGTTACTGATGGCATTAAGCCCGGATAGAGGAAGAGCGTTGTACATGGATTTCAGCAGCCCCATCCGATAGGAGATACCCTTGCTTAAAGACGCTAACCAGAAGGAGCAACTAAAACCGCTTGAGGAGCCTTCATTCAGAAAAACTGTGATGCCTCATGGTTTATGCTGAGATCCATCGGATGGCACGAGCCAATGTCTCTTCTAATAACCACAACAACAATTATTACAGATACATGGAATGTCCGGAAAGTCTAAGAGACCAGGAGGACCAATCAACTAGCCGTAAAAATGAGGAGATACAGCTTGACGGTGCTCGGAATCAGTGGAACCCAAGCTGAACACAAATGTTACATTTGGGAGAATTGCTGGTTATGAAGGAGAAAATACCTTCCATACAAAAAAGTTACAGTGATGTTGTCCAAAGAAAAATGAAAAGCACTTGGAGGATGGGGATCTCATGGATTCAGAATCCTCAAAGTATCCTTCAAAATAAAGGGGGAGGGAATCACATTGATTTTACTCAGTGTCATGCGTCCACCAGTGATAACAATCAGGATAATAAATATCAGTTTTACGGAAAGCCGCCGTCGATCGTAGAGAAGCGCCTAGGAAAAGAACTAACCATTCTGATGAGAGGCCCAAGCTTCAAAGTCGGAATGGACAACATCGGGTATCGAGATGTCTTGAGACAATATGGACTGGTAGAAAGAAAGAATCGCCGAGATCTTTGCAGGTAGATAACTAGTTTCGTCTTCTTGTGAGTATTTTTATTGATCCTCAGGTATCAAACTCTTGTTTACCAACTATTCTTGTCGTCGTTTGGCACGTAATTTTGCGTTAGGCAAACCCTGGACTGTGTAGCACGGGCTGCACCGTTTGATAGACTTTGTGCTGATGATATATTCTATAGGCTTTATCAAATTAGAGCTATTTAAATTTAACGCAGAGTTTGTGTTTTGTTATAGTTTAGTACGAGTAACTCAAAAACGCTTTGCATGCCATACAGGAGACCTTATTCCCGACTAATCGAATAAATTTTGGTTCGTTAGTTCTGCGTTCAAACGAATATTAACATTTCAGTGGTTACAGCTATGTCAGTAATCACAAGCTCAAAGTTACTAAAATGCCTGGTAAGTGCAGCAATATATTCTTCGTAAGCCAAATGTTGGACCATTAAAAATGCAAAGTGATGCACCTCCAGCTCAAACGTGTACTTCATAAGTACTCAATATCATATTGTTAATTGTCATGGTACGATGAGTCAGTGTAGACAATGATGTGACTTCCACATAAGATCTCATAGAGTAGGCAGCCACATGATGACAGATCTACAATTTTGGGATTGGGTTTATTATTAAAGTAGTATTAATACCGAACTAGATCATAATTCTGCAAACATTTAGAACGACCAGGATTCTAATACAATAATGCCAAATTTGGACCTACTGTGCAACGTGAATGCTATGCGATTTTTGAAAAATATGATAAAGGCCACATTCATAGTGCAATACTTAAATCATAAACTGAACTATCAACATCTGCACTAATATACTGCCTTTTATTGATTCCATTTACTTACCAACCCTACTTGAGTAACATCTTATATACAAACCAACGCTACAAATTATTGGAAGTGCCTGTAAAAATGGCGTGTGCTTGACTGACAGAAATGCATATTATGAGTATGAGCGCAAACTTAAATAATTGTTTGTTATACAAACAATAGCAATATTTATTGTCCTACTGCAAAATTTGGAATTCCAGAAGTTCTGGTTTATCTGTCCCATTAGCTTTTGCCAGTAGTTGGTTCCTAACTGCACGATCTTTGGGGTTGAGCACCATTACTGAAAAGATTTACATTCGACACGTATCACCGACAGTAGGTAAACAGTGGTGAACTCGGGGGTAAAGAAAGGAACTCAAGTAGCTGGATCATGGTATTTTTTATATCATATCGGAGAACTAGAGGCGACTTGATTACTTACTTGCTTACTTACGTACTTAATCCTGTTGCTCCCAATGGAGCGTTCTCCAACCCACTCTGTCTTGGAACTTCTCGTCCAGTTCTGTCCAATTTTTGTTCATTCTTCTCATGTCTGTCTCCATTTCTCGACGTAGTGCGTTCTCTGGTCTTCCTCCTCTTCTTTATTTAGCCTTGAGGATTCCATGTGGGGGTTGCCTTGTGACGCAGTCGGGTGCTATCCTCAATGTGTGTCCTATCCACTTCCAGCGCTTCTTCCTGGTCTCTTCCTCCGGTGAGATCTGGTTTATTCTCTCCCATAGTAGGTTGTTGTCAGTAGTGTCCGGCCAATGGATCCGAAGTATTTTGCGTAGACAGATGTTAATAAGCACTTATATCTTATGGATGACTGCTTTCGTATTTCTCCAGGTTTCCACCTCATACAGTAGAACCGTTTTCATATTCGTATTGAAAGTTCTGATCTTGGTGTTGTTTGACAGAGAGTTGTTTTGAGTTCCAGATGTTCTTCAGTTGCAAATATGCTGCTCTTGGTTTGCCGATCCGCGCCTTCACAGCTGCATCAGATCCACCATCTTCATCAGTCATGCTGCCCAGATATGTAAATGTTTTTACATCTTCTAAATCTTCTTCACGAAGTGTAATTCGACTGTTTTATGCTGTGTTGTATCGAAGAATCTTGCTTTTCCCTTTGTGTATGTTGAGACCTACTTCTGCTGAGTCTGCTGCTACACCGGTCATCTTCTGCATTTGTTGTTGCGTGGTATGTAGGAGATCTAGACGATCTGCTAAGTCTAAATCGTCCAGCTGCATCCTAGCTGTCCACTGTATCCCATGCCCACACTCACATGTTGACGTTTTCATGATCCAGTCGATCACCAGGAGAAAGAGAAAGGGTGAGAGTAAACGACCTTCCCTAACACCGGTCTTCACCTCGAAGGAGTCTGTGACCGGTCCTCTATGCACGATTTTGCAGTTTAATGCATTATAGGAATTCTGTATGATATTGACTACATTCTGAGGCACGCTGTAGTATCGAAGAAGCTTCTATAGTGTTGTCCTGTTCACACTATTAAGTGCTTTTTCGTATTCAACGAAGTTGATGTAGAGTGATGAATTCCATTCAATCGATTGTTCCACTATGGTCCGTAAACTTGCGATTTGGTCTTTACACAATTAATCCTTACGGAATCCAGTCTGTTGGTCTCGGCGACTTGATAACAATTTTCAAATTGCTTAGCTATAAATTTAAACCTGATGTGCTTTCATTTTTTTCCAAAACAGGATTTACGAGGACACTACAAAAAAGTTCACAAGCCCAGAACAAGTTATTTGTCATGTTAGGATAGTCGGAAAAAGAGACCAATAATTATCATGTTAAGTCCAATGGTGTCCTTGAACCTTAAATGTACATTTCTTATTGGTCGATGTTTATTTCACTTGTTAAATATTTTGTAAATGTTGTTTCCTATTTTATGGTACGATGTGGTATGCCTGGTTGGTATATAAACAAAGAATATTTGAAATATAATGATTCATAACCCAGAGGCTGTGACTTGTGTTCTTGACTCAACTGGCTAGGACAGACAGCGAAGCAGGGCCAATCAGGGCACTAGGTCGTCCGTACGTGTTTTCCGTGTCACTGTCACAGATCGCGGTCGATAAATAAACGCTGCTTATCAAAAAACCTGCAGTCTCACGCGTTGCAACATGTCAAGTGACTATCGAATTCCCAATCGAAGCATCAACGAGGGAAGTTCATTAACTCAGCACGTGGTTGGGGATCCGTGCCTCGACTCTTTCAAAAGAAAGCTGCAACAACTGAGAGACCATCATTTCCAGGACTAACACAGACCATCAAGCATCCTGTCCTTTCCAAACTGAAACTGGTGAAGATGCCACAGGTATTTGGAGTTCAACAACGCTCTAACCAGTAACACCTTCTAATATGAAGCGTACCCACCAAGTGAAATCAAAAGACAGAAGCGAGGAGGTTCCAAGATAGATTTGATAGGCTATCAATATATCGAGGATCTACTAATCTAATCTGGCTAGAGATTGCAGGGGATGTTGAGCACGGCGTTCTCATTCGTGATCTGGTGCGTTTGCATGACTGACCGCCTTCAGCTAGGTCAGTCCATTAAAATGAATGTGATCAGCATCGAATGTCAAAGACTTATAGGGCTATTGATTTTGGAAATTTATTTTCCGCCACACTGAAACTGGAATGTTGGGATTCGCTGCCGTCTGAGCTAGTCCAAGCGACTTCCCAAGAGTCCTTTGAAAGAAACCTTGAAATATTCTTATGGACGAAGGACATATCCAACTATTATTAATAATTCTTTTTTCTCTTTTATCACTAATATACCTAGGTTCTTACCTGGTGACATCGGTGATCCACTGCTCCTAAATACGGAAGCCTGTTAAGCAAAAGCTACTTATATTCCATCCAGAACCATTTGAACCATTTAAAAATATTTGTAACAGATTGCCGGTCGCGCCAAGCTAAGTTTGATGTTTGAATCTTAAGTTATCGGATATTGGAACTAACTTAACAAGTGTGCTACAGCAGATTAGTCATGACTGTTGCTGTTCCGGGCGAAAGTGCTAGAGAGAAAGCACTAAGTTACTACAGACGTAAACTTGTTGAACATAGAGGAATAGATGCAAGGCTCAAGGAAGGTAATAATTCCACCCCGTTATCACTCATAAACTAGCTCGAGAAAAATCCAAAGCGATTTCGAAAGAGTACGACAAAGCAGAGAATGATTTGAAAGCGCTCCAAAGTGTTGGTCAGGTATTTTATCTTGTTTTCTGTTTAATCCGTGTTTGAAGATAGTAGGTGATGTTTTGAAGCAGCTGACTGATGATCACTGTAAGTTGCTTTCTGCTCTATATAGCTGCTAAACTCAATCTCCCTATTTTGGGGAAATTTCGTGAAAGCCCCTGTAAAAAACTCTAGAGGAGTGACACAAAACCTCCAATTTTTCGGGGAAAACGGTCATTAGATTTTAGGAAAACCCCGAAAATTCCCCAAAACTGGGAGGTTGGGAATCATTTTCATGTTTCGTTTGTCATCACGATTCAAACTGTTTTCTATAATAATACATTTCCAAACGTTGAAAAATAGTGTGGCTAGTCGTAATATGTATTTTTGTAGTATCGTAATCGGTTTTAGACATGACTGCTTCCAAGCTGTCTGCCAGACAGAAATGTGCTCAAAGCACTTTGAAACCCAATGGATAAACTCCTCAAGGTAAACACTGTTGCACAACCACCTCTTCGTCTTCCCAAATCAGCAGTATGACTAAGGGAGTGTGTGCACATTATTTCTCTCCGTTCATAACAGTGAAAGCCGTCGCAGAACAGTGCGATGGTTTGGTCATGTCACCTAGGGAATTACCTCAGCCGTCAGCATACGAGTGATATTGTCTTGCTGTAGAGTAACGTTACCCAAGTAATACCCAGTCATTCGACAGTCGGCATTTATTAATATGCTACATAATCAACATTGAAAAAGACAGCATGTGGTTGAAGTCATCATCGATGATGAGTTCCAAAAAGATTCCCTGATTCCGAATATTTATATAAGCATTTGTACGAGCATCTCTGCATCGGATTTGTCGAACACAATCTTCCATAACTGAGAGTTTGCTGTTCCTGCTTCAGATGGTTATCTGCCAATTATTGGTTCCACTGCTATGTAAGTAATTGTTAGATTCAGAAATATTTGCATGTCCGAATTTACAGGCTTTACTGTCTTTTAACACCATTTCCATTTAACTTGAGACCCTTTTTACACATTCCTCTAGTGGGTTGCGTTCCATGAACTATTCTTCGACTGAGTGAAAGAAACGATATCAATTTGTGACGTATGGGGTTTTAATGAATGATAGTTCTGATAGGTTTACAGTTGGAGGTACATGTAGCCTTGCATAGACCCATGAATACTATAGAACCCTGACCATAGCCCAAAATAAAAGCTACCGGTGGTCTTACCTACACTTTCTGTTTTGTTCTTCCTAAGTGGTAAGACGTACTTTTAGAAGGTGAGACATACCATGGTTGTGTTCCCAGTTGGCTTGTGTCCTTTAATATTCGTTGCTTTTGCTTGTACCATATGATTATTTAATTCATAATGTTTTATAATACCTTTATTGCCACAGTGCTTTATATGGGAATCAACTTTAATGCTCTGTGGCAACTAACATGTGTTACTAGTGTACTAATTATTAGAGCCAATGATAACTATCTACTAGATTTCTAAGCTTCGAAATGAATTGCTTCAATTCATCACAATGGCCATCAGGTTAAGTAAATGACCATATTCTTTATCAAAAAGACAAACTGTTAGCATGAGGAGAATAACTCTTAATAGTCTACTTCTTTCTTAAGTATGTGCTAATGTTTTCTGCAAAAATGATGGCCCCCAAATGCCTTGGTACGGCCGAGAGTGGGGCGAGCCCGCTCTCCCTCTCCAAACGCTCTCATATGGCCACGTGTATATAGCCTCTGCCAGGGAAGTCCTACTCATTGCCTTCTCGTGGCGGGGATGTTGTTTACGAAATTGAGAGGACGAAAAGTGAATGTCCGGCGCTTTGACCAGGTTGGTGGACACGGAGAGTCCACCTAGGGGAGTTGGAAAACCCTAATTCCAAACCAATGTTGCACATGGGCTCCAGTATCCTGAGCGGACAAATCGCGCATATGGTATCCGAACATTAAAAGCTCCAATATACAATTTACAGTGCAATTTCAGTAGACCGAAATTGGTATTTCATGGGCTCGAATAATAAATGACAATTGTAAAACAAATCGGATTTTCAAGACTACTGGTGATCATATTGTTACTAAGAGCAGAGGAAAATGTGAAGGGCTGATAAATAACTAGAGTTACATTCGCGCTTTTAGAAGTACGCACGAAACTAATCCTTTACAACTAAGCGCATTGTAAAAGCTTGTATCCTGGATGGTGAATAAACACGTACATGACCTCAAAGCCCAAAGTATATCTATCTGAGGTTATCATGCGCTGTAATTCTTGAAATGGTGGTAGTTTTAGGGTTCACAACTTGAATTTATATAGGAAAAAGGATTCTAGTCTTGGAATAGTGTTTTTCTAACTTCCCACATTGCTCAGTCAACATGGACAGAGGTAGTTATCGCCCGATAGGGACACCTCACTATTATCACATTCCTACAGTCGCCAGTATGACCCCTTGAATTGTGTCTCAATACTACTTGTTTTTTTATTCTGACAGTAACCAGTTCCCTTGGTTTACAAACTAACCATTTTAACCAACATAATTCGACCGATATTTTTAAAATAATCAATTGATATTTCTATCGTTGCTTGCACGTGTGAGCTGATTTCTTCTCATATAGGGAACTGGTATACGTCTATCAGTTCCATCAGAAGTACTGCGAAATATAGTCGATTTGGCAAATGTAAATCTCAGTCCATCATAGCTTTTTAGGGTTGAAAACTAGTCTCGATTAGATTTAAAAAGTTCAATGCGACCTTGTGAAAATTCAGGCTCTGAGTTACGCACTACTTTTATCTAGAAGCCTGGTAACTCAGTTTTAATTGGATGATGTGGGATTCACACCGATAACCTTGTTAAACGTCAGAGGCATAAATCATTATCAAAATGGAGTAGTAGAAGTTATTTTAAAGGTAAGTGTACTTTAATAGCTTACTTCATAGCACTATATTGTTGCACTAAACATTCATGCCATTTTCGACTTTGTCGGATGCATTCTATTAATAGAGGTTTATCTTTGTTTTCTAGTCATTGTTAAAGCTAGTAATGGGCCGCGATATGTTGTTGGCTGTCGACGCAGTTTACAAAGCAGTAAATTAAAGCCAGGCACTAGAGTTGCATTGGACATGACCACATTGACAATTATGCGCCAATTACCACGCGAAGTCGACCCACTAGTCCATAATATGTCTGCAGAAGACCCAGGTTCTGTATCTTATGCTTCCGTTGGTGGTCTGGCTGATCAAATTCGTGAACTCAGAGAAGTAATTGAACTCCCGCTTATGAATCCAGAATTGTTCCATAGAGTTGGTATAACCCCTCCCAAAGGATGCCTTCTTTATGGTCCACCGGGGACTGGGAAAACTCTTCTAGCACGTGCTGTAGCATCACAACTTGATGTTAACTTTCTAAAGGTATTTTGGATTCTCTACTATTGATTTGCACTGTGTACTATGATTAATACCAGTTATGTCACTACAATCAATTCGAACTGTGATCACATGGAGTTAACTGAATCTATTATTACTATTAATAATTTATTTTAAGTTACTCCTCTTTAAATGATGACTGGATTAAAACTATAGATACAGAACAAAATCACTTCACTGCAATTAAAGTTGGGTCACTGAGTATCAGTCAGCTACAACGTAGGACCAGCCACATATGTGCATTGATCCAAGTTGTCATACCACATTAGCACAACAAGATGAACACCGGATTCATAGTAGTTAATTCAATGGTGGTAATATATAAAAGAAAGATTGAATGTAAGGACATAGTACAGGAAGAAAGAATGAGTACTTAGAAAGATATGAAGCGATTTTAATCTCATAGTTTAAGGGAAGACAGAGAGTGTATACACCGACGCCATTGTGATCGATTCTGAGCTATGTCACCTAGAGTCTCCAACCATTGGTCGCGCGGACCCCAAACTAAGTAGTCTGTATCTACCAACATAGCTCATACCAAAAGTTAGTGACTCTGTGGACTGATGCCCAACACCGGTTAGCATTGCACGTCGTGGTAGTCGGTGTTCAGGCATACGCAACACGTGGTCCATCCATCTTAGTCGGCGAAAATTCACAACCTCATCGACTGATTTACCATCATTCCCTAATACCCTTCGTCTAACCTCACTATTACTTACCCGGTGATTCCAGCAGATGTGAGCATTATTTCTTAAGTATCTGTGGTCAAATACTAGTAGCTTACAAATATCTTCTACTCTTAATGACCACGTTTTGCAGCCATAAAGTAAAACAGAACGAACTGCCGCGCAGTATATTCGTCCCTTAATTGGCAGACGAATATCTCGTCTTCGCCATAGGTGACGTAAGTTGGCAAAAGCCAAATGAGCTTTTCGAATCCGTGCTGAGATTTCTTCAGACACCAACCCATTAGGGCTGATCATACTTCTAAGAAAAGTGGAGTTTTCAACGCGTTTGACTACTTCACTCCCTATTCTTAGTTCAGGCGTTGACGCAGACCAGTCCTGAAGCAACAACTTGCATTTAGAGGGGGAGAAACGAATCCCAAACATTCTGGCATTGTTGCTCAGTCACTGAGTATTGATGACTCAGAACGTTATTGATATTAAAAAAATTGCATAAAGTTATGATTACAGAGACAATGGTTTTGACGTAGTTCGACTTTTAGGTTATCTAGTAACATAAACGATTATGTTGGTATAATACAAATGTTAGCTCATGTAATTATATTCTGTCGATAGAGACGTTTTATTTCGTCTGGAATTGTGGTAACCTAATTATAACTGATCGGCCAGTCTTAATCAGCATCGGACCTAGCACAAATCTTCCTCAGCCCACTTTATCACACGTCAGCACTGCGAAATAAGATGGAAAAGTAAATACTGAGGCATTATAAGTATCAATGATAGTGAATAAGATTACACAGAATATGATTTGAGAAAAAATGAATTCCCGAAATAAAAAGCACAGAACAATTTTGAAGCTTAGAATCTGATGCTAGATAAGGTGTGAATACATATATTTGCATTATTCCGGTCGAGTTTGACCAAGCTGTTCAATGTCTCCAACTATCGGTAACTATAATCATAAGAAATCCAACCATTTAGTTTCCATCACTGACTTTATACATGAGTGTCGTTCCTTACGTTGGCCGCTCTTAGTTTCTGTCCAACTTACTACGGTAGTCGAAATTTCGCACCGGCAGTAATTAATTAGTTAGCCATCGTTATCTATATTTGATATCGTCATGATTGTATTACACTACCACAGATGCACTCAGTCATCTTTCATTCAATTCTAAAAATAAAATTACCCCCAGTTTAATACGTTTCTTTTGGTTTTTCATCAATATTTATATGATTGTTGTTTACTCCCTTGTTATCCTCTCGTTAGTTTAATTAAAGTATGATGTACACTTGTTATAAGTTATCTATTTATAAGTGTAAATAAGCTCAAAATCTAGGTCAAAGGATCTCTGGCGATAGTTTAGCATTATAGAACATACAGGACGTATTATGATTTTGTGCCATATATATTTAAGGGTAACCTTTTTGGGGTTGAGCTATTAAATTTTGACGAATGACCAACTTATAAGAGTGAAAATTCCGCCTCCAAATGCCCTGATACGGCCGATATTGGGAAAAGTCAGCTCTCCTCGAAATGCTCTCACATGGTCATGTGCATACAACCTATGCCAGGGAATTCCTACTCACCACCTCGTGGCAGGGGTGCTTACGAAATTGAGAGGACGAAAAGTGAGTGTCCGGTGCTTCAGCCGGGTTGGTGGATATGGAGAATCCACCTAGGGGAGTTAGAAAGTCATAATTCCAAACCAATGATGGCGACTATAGGGAACACAAGACAGCTTTACAGACTAATAAAAGAAACTGGAATTAATAAGTCAAGTGTAAGTGAGACTATTTCGGAAAAAGATGATACTCTCATCTGCTCCCAGTTCAGACGTTTAGAACGATGGGCGGAGCATTTTAGAGAACAGTTCAGCTGGCCTTCAGCTTCTCTACAACTACCCTCCATTCCCAGACAATGTGAATGGAACATTGGGCCACGTATTACGTATGCCTAAACACCGATTACCACGACGTGCAATGCTAACCGGTGTAGGGGATGGTTGGAAGAAAGTTAGGGGCGGCCAAACCAAAACGTGGCATCAGTGCCTGAAGTCACTAACTTCTAGTCTGAGCCATGTTGGTAGATGCAGACTACTTGGTTGGGGTCCGCGCGACTTTCGTAACCAATGGTTGGAGACTCTGGGTGACATGGCTCAGAATCGATCACAATGGCGTCGGTGTATACACTCCGTGTCTTTCCTTAAACTAAGAGATTAAAATCACTTCATATCTCTCTTTCTACTAACTAATTCTTTCTTCCTGTACTGTATCATTATATGCAATCTTTCTCCTATATATTACCACCTTTGACCTAACCACTCCTATGAATCCGCTGTTCATCTTGCTGTGCTAATGAGGTATGGCAACTTGGACTGATGCACATATGTGCCTGGTCCTACGTTGTAGCTGACTGACTGAATGATGTGCATGGGCTCCAGGATCCTGAGGAAACAAATGACGTACTAACCTATTGTTGGTCACCGGCTACCATGAGACCGCATCACCTTACGTTGCTCTACTGCCTTGTAGATTAGACGTCCAAGTCAAATGCTCGGGTTGTGGCCCCCTAAGAAAACGTGCTTCGGTTCGTGCACCCAGGGCAATATCCCAGCCCTCACACAAATCAATTGGTTTATGTGATGCATATCTGTTTGGTGCCTCCTTGTACCGATGTTTGTGTTTAAATAAATAAATAAAATAAATTATAAATACAAATCATTTCATTTTATAACACCCTACAGCTGAATGTCTTATATGAAAGTTTTCAATTTTGTGAACTCGTTTCAGATCATTTAAATGATTAATACAGTACTAAGCAGTAGACAATATGGAATAATACGACTTGATCAGTTAATACCTACTTATAAGACAACACTATTAACATTAAGCTTCCAAATAAACTTACCAAGACAATAGAGCTTGTCTGCAGGATAATTTTTTTCCAACAAAATTCCATGCTTATATTCAGAATGTTACACATAAAAATGCAATTATCATTGGTCACTCAAGCCAGTGGAATTAGGATCTATCTACCAAGTTCTGTCATTACTCTTCTGTCGGGAAATACAATATTTCCGTGAAATTCGACCACAACCATCCTAAAAATTCTTAAATTCTTTATTTTTAAATTTTTGCCTGCCTTCAGTATCTCAAGTCTCAAATTCTTGATGGGTCGTTCTCAAGGTGGCCACACTTTTTCTACTATATACAAATTCTTCGACTAAAGCTACAATAAAACTTCGTTTTTCCAACAGCTCAGAGCTTAGTTAGAGAGCTATTCATAGGACCGTGCGCTTTTCCGTTGTCACTGTTTTTTTTCGTAGTCCAGCTAATTCATAAGATTTCCTACACAATAGATCCACAAGTAATATAACGGAAACTTCGTTTTTTTAAATTAAATCGTACACAGGTTGTATCCAGTGGTATTGTTGACAAGTATATTGGTGAGTCAGCTCGTCTTATTCGAGAAATGTTCAATTATGCACGAGATCATCAACCCTGCATTATTTTTATGGATGAGATTGATGCAATCGGCGGTCGTCGTTTCACTGAAGGTACAAGTGCTGATCGTGAAATTCAACGTACTTTAATGGAATTATTAAATCAGATGGATGGTTTTGATGCACTTGGTCAGGTAACTATTGATATTGTCTGTTTCTGAAAAGCTGTTCATCTCTAATTTATTTTCTAAAGTATATATTACAAGGTTACTTTTTATCAGTTTATGTTAAAATCGTTGTATTCACTGGTAAATATGCATTGTTCTTAAGGGTAGATTAAATGTTATTATTTCCTAGAGTAAGTATTCTTAATTGAATTCTTCATGAATTACCGAAAAAATCCTTTGACCAACTTTAAAATGACATTGACTTCCTACGAAATTTGGTTTACCATTAAAAGTAAGAGGGCATTGAACGGCTGTTTTATCTTCTCATGAAATTCCTCAGCATTGTTGACTCGCTAACCTGTCAGTAATCAAACCCAGAAGCTTATGGAAAGCGCGTCACAGCTAGGCGACCGAGTTAACATCTAATAGTGTACATTTCAAACTGCAGTCAATTCTCAATATTGCCATAGGTCATACTGTGGTGTATGCTACTTATGTTTACAGATATAAGCAGTATGTAATACCAGTCTGAAGTAGAATGTCTGCGAGCAAAAGGTTGGGAAGATTGAAGTGAAGAGAAAAGAGAAGGAAACTGAGAGCGATCAAGATAAGAACAGTAGTGAAGGAACAATGAAGCTTGTGAGAGACAATTCAGAGATGTGCAAATGATGTACTTGTTGTATGATTTTCACATTTTGCTAAACCACTGTGTGACTGTGCATTAAGAAAATAAATTAATCTTCCACACTTGACTTATACGTTCACTACAATACTTGTTTCGCTCTCGGCATAGTTAAACTTCACTGGTCACATATTCTCACTTTCATCATACTGGAGTGAAAAAAAAGTCACCTACATATGTTAAATCCTTTGTCATAATTTCTTAGACATGAATTTCATGCTCTTTAGCACATATCGGCAAGAAGTATTTATAACTTAAAAAGCCTCAATATTGTTTGAGTTTTAAATCTCTTGTCAGTTTCATAGGCTGTTGTTGATTGACTAAGGATATGTTATAGTTACTAACTTCATCGACTAAAATACTGTAATGTTAACTATAAAGATGTATTACAAAATGTCGACTATCACTACGATCTAACTGAATTCGGTATACTGCTTTATTTATTTGTGCAATTCTATTTCATTTACGATCACAGGTTAAAATGATCATGGCAACTAATCGTCCGGATACCCTTGACCCGGCTCTACTTAGACCTGGACGTTTAGATCGCAAAATTGGTAAGCTTCTATCCTTTGTCATAATTTATTTTCTTAGAAATTCCTCTGCCTAATGAACAAGCTCGAATGGATGTACTAAAGATACATGCAGCTCCAATAGCCAAACATGGTGAAATAGGTAAAGTGTCATTTTCTTGATTTCTCGTTCTTGTATTGTTTATATTAATTCTCTATTTGTCAAATTATAAAAAATACTCTAGATTATGCAATAAATACCTATATATTTCCTTATCCTTACTGTGCTTATAACTAGAGAGAGTTTTCTGATTGGTTACGAAATCACTCAAGGTACTTTTGTCAATACCAGTTAATTATAAATAGTATAGTTATGACATACAAATTTCACAATGGGTATTACTCCAGGAGTATTAACATGGTACTTTTTGACTGCCATTCAAATATCACTGAGTTTAACCTCGGGACATGATAATTGTAAGTGAAATATCTAGCCTATTGAAGTTAGTAGATAACACTCAAAGACACAGAAGATTAGTTACTGTTATAACGCTCGGTTTTCTACGTCTACACGAATATCTACATTAGATTCCTTCCCAGTGTCTATTCTACAGGACTTCAACACAACTCAGATCAAGAACACGTGATTAGCCTAACTAGTACGTAAGTATATTTCCACACCAAAAAACTGACAACTGAATATATAACTCATCTAACGCCTGTCAAACCATTTACAAGTCTGACTAAGCAAACAACCAATCATTATTTTTCTCGCTCACGCAGTTACTGATTTACTAACTCAATTTAAACTTCTAGTCCATGGTTATTCTCCATACATGTTTTACGCGAATCTAACTTTACTGCATAAATCTTTAAATAAAAGCGAAACCAAACTGAAAAATAATAATATGACGTCCATTTCACACAGCATCACATAAACACCGAATAGAGAGTACTAGAATGTGCATCATGAAAACGAAAAACAAAAAAGGGTAGTGGCTAGCAATGGAATCGAGGACACGTGTTTCGTCGCATTTGGGACTCGTCGGCTGGATGTACCCGCATCCCAGAGTTGATGTTCACTCCTGGGTTCGAACTCATTACCGTTCACTTCGAACGCCATCACGTTATCCACTTAGCTACTGAGTCCTTATAGCCACTTGCTTATACAATGAGGTGGAGTTTAAATTCACTTGGTGTTGTTTTACTTGTATCTTCCCAGTGTTATTTAGGACTGTAATTGATCGATCTCATGTTTGCATATGTGCTTCCTGTGTGTATTGCCTCGATTTAGTCTTAAAAACAAAAAATATTGTCGAAAAACAAAATAAGGATAATCATATTCTAAAATTAGAAATAGGAAGTAGTGCAGAAATATAGTGCAAGTATGAACAAGCAATCAATTTAAGTTTTATTCAGTTAGTAGAGTGTATTGTATGACTATGAAAAGTATAATATAGATGTCAATGGCTTTGTACCAGATTAATAACATATTTTCTCTCTCGCAAACAATCTAGTCATTTTCCCTATTCATAATGATAATCTGCGGCCCGGATAGCTCAGTGGTAACGTCTCTGACTGTGAAGCTGGGTGACACGGCGTCGAGTCCGCCAGGGAGCACCAGTTTCCTCATGATTACAGATAAACCTTGCTGACGAGTGTCAAGTAGCACGAAACCCGAGTCCAGGGTTTCCTGTCGACTACCTCCAACCACCATCTAATGATAATCTGTTTTTATATACTTAATTTGAGGCAATGATCAACTATTCAACATCTAAATTTCTTTATTGGTGAAATAAGTTAGTACTTTCAAAATTCTCATATTTTATCTAATTGAATATGACATAATTTGTGTTTTGTAAAAACATGTGCAATCACATTACATCTACAATAATATTGTATAATATGAATTTAAATATTTTGTTTGTTTACCAACTATTAACTTACTTAATTTATTCTATAGATTGGGAAGCAGTTGTTAAACTATCTGATGGATTCAATGGAGCTGATCTACGTAACGTTTGCACAGAAGCTGGTAAGTTTTATAGTAATTATGCTGTCGCTTACCTTTCTTAACAGTTTTTGAATGTACTAATTGTTATTTAGTAGGATCATTAGAGCTGATTTATTATAGTATTTAGTAAAGTATGAATAAAACAAAACCTTCTGTGTTAGATAATGAATAAAGCAAATTTAACAGGATTTCAATTCGTATTCATCTTGAATTGATGAAGAACAGTTGCAGTCCAGATGGTTGCTTTTGATTTAATTGCAAAGCTTTCATCGTCATTATGAGAAAAATCTTCAGCGCTTATGTCATGTAGGATTCGTATTCACCCTACATTTAGTAAGGGGACGAGAAACCTCGAAATATTATGGTTTCATACTATTCTGCACCAATATTCGTTCTTGCTTTATTTAAATTCATAAAGGGAACCAGTTGCATGAAATTTCCAATGGATGTGACTGCATACGATTTACAAATTATATATATTCGTGCATTTTATTCGGTCGCCCAACATACTTTCTCGCTCAAGTAGTCAGTTGTAGGATTAGAGCGTAGCACATCGTGTATTAGTATCAGTTTTCGGACATCACCCGTCACAACAATTAGAGTTGAGGTTATTCTCCATAATTTAATCCTGTAGACTCTACTTGCCACTATATGGGGAAAAATGTTTGGAAAAAGTCCAGATACCCACTACAAATTTCAAACACACAGACTACCTATTTATGTACAAATAATTCGTCACTAATAAGTGTACACTGTACTTATCCCATCTTTCGTTTTGCTTATGATGACATTTTTCAAAATCCTGTTCTCCACTGTCTTCGAATGCTATATCGCGTATCTATTGTTGAGTTTAATTGATTAGCTCAACAATTCCTTACTTTTTTTTTAATAATTTTCAATTGTGTCAGTCTAACATAGTACCAGAGCTTTTATTTCTCAAATGTTATTTAACCTTCTTTTTTTTGGTCAATATAGGTATGTTTGCTATACGTGCAGAGCGAGATTATACAATAGAAGAGGACTTTATGAAGGCTGTACGAAAAATAGCCGATGCTAAGAAATTAGAAACAAAATTAGACTATAAACCAGTCTAAATATGGGGATATATTATTTTGCATGCACATTGCTGACATATAAAAAAAGGTTATTCAACAAGTATTGATTTTCAATAAAACAAACTTTGTTTTATTAATCAACCTATTAAAGTGTTTAACCAATAATTACTTGTATATTTCAGTTGTTATGTTTTATGTAGTACAAGGTAAAATAGAAAATGTAATTTACTGGTCATAATTTCATTATTTTCGATCTATATAGTGTAATCAAGTCGTATTGACTAATTAGGGCTTCGTCAGACAGTTGAAATTGTATTTAATATACGTTCTTTTCAGCAGAATGTTCCTGTGGGAATGACTAAATTAGAATTGTGTGCAAATATCCCATCCAATGTTGTGCTGAACTGATATGCTCAATAGACACAATGACTAGTCAAGATTATATAATATCTTTAAAATTTGTAAAGATATAGTAATCATTCAGAAGTACATCTACTGTTGCTGTAGTGTGTGCTACTTATGTCAACGTATGTAGTTGGTATTTTTGAAACGATTACGAGTTCACCTAATCTGAGAACGGAACGAAGACTCTGTGATATAATGACAGATAAACCAGCTATTCTGACGCGTCGCGTCTCAGCCTCGCTAACTAGAGAAAAAAGTCTAAGTTCAGAAAAGGGAAATATATTCCACAAGCAGCCAGAAGCACGAGCATTAAAAACAGGCACAAATCAAAGTATATATACAGCATATGATTGTCCTTGGGATGCGTTGTTTACAAAGGTTTGGGAACCAGAGAGTGTACCAACGTCATGGAATGAATCGATAGTTGTCCCTGTCTTTAAAAAGGGTTCACGTCGTTCCTGTAACAACTATCGGGGGATAAGTCTACTTCCGATTGCGTCCAAGCTATTGGCTTCCGTCATTCTTCGTAGGTTGTTCAAATCCCGAGAAAGATTGACTCGCGAGGAGCAGGCTGGGTTTCGTTCTGGTCGAGGATGTATTGATCATATCTTCACCCTCCGCCAAATGTTAGAACACCGCCATACTTATCAAAGGCCAACAATCGTAGTGTTTCTCGACATCAGGGCTGCCTTCGATTCGTTGAACAGGACTGTTCTCTGGGATTGTCTATTGAAGAAGGGTGTGCCTGAGAAGTTTATTAACATCCTAAAAGCCCTATATACAAACACCTCAGGCAGAGTGAGGGCATACAACCACCTCTCTCCATTGTTCCATTCGAGCAGTGGGGTTAGGCAGGGTTGCCCAATCTCACCGTTCCTCTTCAACTTTGCCATCGATGACATTCTGGAAACAGCTCTGATGGATGTAAGTAATGGTGGTGTGGATCTGTTGCCTGGAGAAAGACTTCTCGACCTTGAGTATGCGGATGATATTGTCTTACTGTGCGATAATGCCCAAGGTATGCAATCCGCACTTAATCAGTTGGCAATCAGTGTCCGTAGGTATGGTATGTGCTTTGCACCTTCGAAGTGCAAAGTACTTCTACAAGACTGGCAGGATTCCAATCCTGTACTCACCCTGGACGGTGAGCAGATAGACGTAGTCGAGAAGTTCGTGTATCTGGGTAGATGCATAAGTGCTGGTGGGGGTGTGAGTGATGAGATCAATGCACGTATAGTGAAAGCCAGAGCGGCTTATGCCAATCTGGGCCATCTTTGGCGCCTTTGTGATGTTAGTCTGGCTGTAAAAGGTCGGATCTACAATGCGTCGGTGAGAGCAGTTTTGCTCTATGCTTGTGAGACCTGGACTCTCCGAGTTGAGGACGTTAGACGACTCTGTGTTCGATCATCGTTGTCTCCGAAGGATTGCTGACATTCAGTGGCAACACCATGTCAGTAATGCAGAGGTTCGGCATCGTGTGTTCGGGCACAGAGATGATAATGCAATCGATGTCACCATCTTGAAACACCGACTTCGGTGGCTTGGACATGTTCTACGAATGTCGCCCCAGAGAATTCCACGTCGTGCATTATTTGCCAGTGCTGGGACTGGTTGGAAGAAGCGGAGAGGTGGTCAGTGCATGACATGGTGTCGTGGTATGAAAGAAAGCTGCAAAGGGCTGGCTTGTGTTGGTCCTTCACGACTCCCTGGTTGGGGTCTGAGAGATGGTGCTACACAGTGGCTAGAGACGTTATCAGATATGGCTCAGAATAGAAGCCAGTGGCGATCCTGCTGTAACCTTCTTTTACTTTCTTCATAAAAAGTGGTTGTGTCTCCCTTACCTGAAAGATTTCTTCTGATTGTACCTTTTCGTTCCCTCGTTACTACCACACTACCTTTACACCAATCTGTTCGTTATTGTTCTCTTTTTCTTCTGCGCTCCTTAGTTTTTTTGTACTTCTCTTCGAATTTTCATTGTTTTCTTGTGGCGCATATATATTGGCGCTCTCTTGTACCAATATTCATGTGTTCAAATAAATAAGCATACCAAAAAATACAACGAACTAATAGCGTTTAAGATCCTCCCAAGTGGGAAATACGACATGAAGGTAGAAATGAGCGCTTTTGGCGCAAAAACAATAAATCCAAAATTTTAAAATAAAATTACAAAAATAAGACATTTACCAAGTGAGTTCTGGGGATCTAACATCCTCAACAGTAGTATGTAACGCTAACCGTGAATAGAATGTCTGCCAGAAGAAGGTTAAGAGAACGGGAACAGAAAACCATTAGTATGGAAATACAGGAACAATGTAGTCTGAGACAATTAATGGACATTTTGCAAATGAAGTATGGTTTTTCTGTTTTATCAAGTATCTGTAGTTTTGTGCTAAATATAATCGGTCCTCACCTGTGCTCACTACATTTGGTATCGCTGTCTTCACTAGGAATGAAGATTCCTTGCTGAATGAATTTGAGAACGGAGATGTGCTGAGCTTTATGAAGGAGTTTGAAGCCATGGCGGAGTTGATGGGAGTGAAGGAGCCTAAGGTGAAGATGGTGATGTTGGGGACGCTGCTAAGAGGCAGGACGAAGGTTGTATATGACAGCTTGGGCGGTTCTGGCGAGAGGATGACATCGGAGACAGTCACAAAGCGGTTGATCCCGGAGATCGACAGCCCAGTGGACAGAGAAGAGGCACTGCAGAAGTTCCAGCTGGCGAAGTTGTCGATCGATTGTGACCCACTGGTGCTGGCTGTGGAGCTTACCAGGTTGTTGCACCGCGCGCTGCCGAATCTGGATGAGGAGTCGGAGGCACAGTTGTTAGCGTCGCAATTTATTAAGAACGTGCCGACCACCGTTTCCCAGCAGCTGAGACTAGTAAACGCCGCACGACCTATGGATATCAGTGAACTGGCGGTGACCCGAACAGGAGCTCCGGTCGGGTGCGCAAACAGGAGATAAATAATGTCAAAAAGATTGAGGAGCTGCAGCTTGATGTTGCGGCAATACGAGTGAATCATAAGAGGAACGATAGATGTTAAGCTTGTAGAGGGACAGGACATTGGAAGATAAACTGCCTAATAAGACGCAGATATTTTAGACGTTATAACGTGTGTTCTTTCTACCCTATGAATCTGGGGTTTGTTGCACTAGTAGATAGAGGGGGCAGTCTACACAGGAGCGAAAATAAATAAAGGAGATTTAGTGTGTTTGATCGATATAGGGGCACCGGTATCGTTAATAGGCAAAGAACAATGTTAGAGACTCAAGGCATGTACATTGGCAGTTTAGACCGTAAGAGGGCACATGTTAGGTGTTGGGTATGCCTAACAGCATCGTAAAAGTGGATGGTGCTGAGATAAGTTCCTCGTTCGTAGTGACTAAAAGCCTATCGAGACCAATATTAGGAGCGGATTTCCTAAGAGAAGTAAAAGCAATAGTTGACTTAAGCGGTAGGATGTTCACAAAGTACGGTTTATCCCCAATACATGAAAGTAGCGAAGTGGCTAAGATAAGAGTGGCAACAGAAGTTTCAACGAAGGGACCAAACGTTAGCGAGTTCTACACAAAGTGCATGAAACTGCTTACTAAAGGCGGAGCCGTACGGATTTGTAACAAAGTAAAGCACGAAATCCCAATAAAGAACAATCGAATAAATATATTTGCAACACGTCGTGTATTTAGAGGATGAGGTAAATCGACAGGTCCAGATGTTGAAAGAAGGTATAACTGATAAAGCGAATAGCCCGTATAACTCTTGGTAAAGAAACCGAATGAAAAGTATGGATTTTGTGTCGATTTTAGAGAACTGAAACCTTGTTCAATGTCTACAGTAGTGGAAACATTAGATTGGCTGCTAAATGATACAGTGCTGGACTTACGGTCAGGTTATTGGCAACTGCCTACAATAAAAGGGCGAGCGAAACAAGATAGCATTTACTATAAGTGAACAGTATCAATTTAGACGAATGCCGATTGGGTTGGCGTGTGCCACGTTTACGTGCAGAATATTAATTACGCTGCTGCTCAGGAATCTAGGTAACGTCGATGTGTATGGCGACGACGTAGCTGTGTACAGCTATACGGAAACATCACGCCAAGCATGTGGAAGCGGTCTTAAAGCGAATTGAAGAAGAATTTGGACTTCGAATTAATAGGGGCAAGTCCCAGAGAGCGAAAAGTAGCGTCACGTTGTTGTGGCATAAAGTGAGAAATGAGGAAATAGAACTACAGCCGGAGAAAACCCTAACCAACGATCGAAAATGAATAATTAGCAATTGTGTGGGCAGAAGAGAAATCGTAGTCTTTGTGTACATGACCACATCGAGACTGACCATGAACCCCTGCAGTAGCTGAAAACAGCAGGAGACCCACGTAGAAAGTTGGAGGGATGGATAGTACGTCTGTAGGAGTACGACTTCAGTATAGGGCATGTTCCAGGAAAGGAAAACGTAATGGCGGACTTCTTGTCCCTGTTTTGAAAGTGACGAGTTTACAGCCCATCTTAAGCAGTTTGGCATCAAAAGGATACGAATCACACCATATCAACCTCAGACAAACGGGCTTACAGAAAGAAACAACCGGACGTTAAAAGAATGGTTAGCCTCTAAAGGAGAAAATTGGGAGAGTTACCATTGATTTTGCTGGCACATAGTGCCTCTATACAAGGAACAACCAAGAAGTCACCTTTCCTGCTTATGTATGGTAGACAGCCACCAACTTCGATGCATAATAAGACCTGGCCACAACAAAAGTGGACGAGAGGAGGAGGGCAATAAGGAACGTGGAAAGTAAACAAATATTAGACACAAACAAGGCGGGACAACAG